CTTCGCTTCTTCTTCTTCTTCTTCTTCTTCTTCGCTTCTTCTTCTTCTTCTTCTTCTTCTTCGCTTCTTCTTCTTCTTCTTCTTCTTCTTCTTCTTCTCCTCCTGCTTCTCCTTCTCCTTGTTCTTCTTCTCCTCCTCCTCCTCCTCCTTCGCTGCTTCTTCTTCTTCTATTTCTTCTTCTTCTTCTTCTCCTCCCCCCGCCCTCCATCCTTTCTCACCCACCCTTTCTGACCCCCCGCCCATATTCGACCTTCCTCACCCACCCTTTCTGACCCCTCGCCCATATTCGACCTTCTTCTTCTTCGTCTTCTTTTTGTTCTTCCTCTTCTCCTCCTCCCCCTCAACAAGTTCATTTTCAAACTCAAACCCTGACTGCACCGTAGTTTTCTCATGACATAATTCTGAATTAGCTGGGGCCGGTCAGTTCAATGATGATATCTCAAGGTCGTCCCCCTTCTTTGCAAAAAAAAAACAAAAAACAAAAAAAAAACAAAGGGGTGCCCTCTCACTTGTATCTTGTGCGCCTATGCGGCAGCCACATTCTTGCGAAGCCTGGGAAGGGATAGGATTCGGGTGCATGGCTTTCAGGCGGTCGACGATGTAACTATTTTTGTGGCTGTAGAGGGGGATCGGGATGATTACAAGGCAGCGGCTTTTATGGATCGTTTCCTGACTTGCTATGGGAATGTGCTCAGACTGGTTAGGACTGATGACGGGAGTGGGCAATGGGCTTTTGCTGGTGCTTCTGTTTGTTGTTTTTTTCACGTCTGGCACGGCACTTCCTTTTTTTTTTCCCTGGAACAATGCTCCAATCTATATGTGGGGAACAACACGTGTTGGGAACCAGGCCCAGCGTCCCGTTTGAAACCATATTTGGGAACATATACAGAATCAGCCGAAGCCGGGTATTGGCACGACACTTCCTACAGTGGCTGTTGTCAAACATCTGGGTCACACGTTACTGGTCTAAGGGGCTCGTTAGACACTCCTTGGGCGAGTAAATCCCCCGAGGAAATTTTTGTTCCACCTATCCTCGGGGATGAAAACGAAAAAAAAAAGTGAAAACATTTCCTTGGGGAATCCTCGGGGCGTCCTCGTGCTACAGCCATTTGGTGGCGTTCCCCAAGGGACCTCTCAAGGTCCCTTGGAGGTCAAGGATTCGCGATAATCGGAGCGGCGAGGGCACCCGTCGTCGGCAAAATTTTTTTGTCGGCTGGTCCATTGGAGTTCCTACTGGGCAGCGCACAGACATCTTGGGTCTTCAACGTTCGGCTTCCAGGAACCTTACGCCAACGGTAACCATTGCTGGCCGGCCGGCCCCCGTGGACGTCGTCAACCAGTGTTCGCCCTCGCAGTGCGTGCCGCCAAACGGAAAGGGGTCGAACGGTTGCCAAATTTGAATACTTCAGCCGACCCCCCTTGCTCCGATTGCCCACTGTATTCGGCTACAAAAAACGTTACAAGAAGTTTGTCCCATGTTGCGGTCTGCCGTTTGCAGCCCTCTTCGTCGCCGTTTGCTGGAGTTGTACCGTCGTCTAGCTACTGTGCCCTTCCCCACTTGCCTTTCATGGCCGTCGTCTTTCAAAGGCTGTCGCTGCTGCTCCTGGTCATCCTTTTGCTTGTCCTTGTCGTCTTCTTCCATATCTGCATCCTCGGTAGGGTGCCTGGACGTACACGTAAGAGGCGGTCTGTGAAGAAGGACGTCAGCATGGATGGGCAGCAGGCGAAGAGCAGGTCTTTAGTGGACCCCTCCAGAAGCCACCGTGCAGGCCACGGCCCGGTTCGCAGTGCAAGGGCGTACGACCCATTAGAGTGTGTGTATCGTATGCTGTCCTCTACCGTCTGCTTCCTTCATCGTTGCTGTTCGCTGGACCTTCACCGTCGTCGTAGAATTATGGCCCTGTTGTACGTGTTGTTGATGGCCGGCCTCTATTTAAGGCTGCCACTGCTGCTCCTAGTCACAATTTCACTTGTCGTGGTCCGGTTCCACGTGTGCTTCCTGTATCATTGATGATCGATCTCTATCGAAGGCCTCCAACAGAGAAGACGAGGGATCGACATTGACATGAGCATCGCATCCCGCAGGCGTTCGTCCACATTGGATGTAATCACCATCGCCCGAAAGACACGTGGCGGCATGCGCAGCTTTTCCCAGAAGTACTCCGTCGCATCATCGCATTGCCTGAGATCCTCCCACGCCCCCCCCGTCCTCCTTTTCATCCACCACCTCGGTGTCCCTCGTGGAAGAACACTTCAACCCATGGCACAGCAAACCTGAACTGCAGCCTCCGTGATGGCCACGGTATCCAGCCCTACGACCGGGACTTGATGAAGCGTCTTCCTCCTCTGCGCGCGGATCTGAGCTCTCATTCTGCCCAATGCCCTCTCCTGCTGACAACGAAAGAGCACGGTCGTCACGGCCACCGCCACGACCGTCTTCTCGATCGTCCTCAGTTTCGCACGTCCGTCGTCGCTGCCGCCCTCCATCGGCACGTGTGTTGCAATGCTCATGAACCACGAAAATACAACAGCCTACCAACTCGCCACAACCACGGTAACCTCAGCACCAAGTCCCCGACGACTTTCCCCGCGTGTGCTCGACTCAACACATAGGCGTGGTGGCATGCAGAGGCGATGGCGATGGACCTTCGCAAGGCGCTCACAAATTTGTGACTCAACACATAGGCGTGGTGGCATGCAGAGGCGATGGCGATGGACCTTCGCAAGGCGCTCACAAATTTGTGACGACGTGCGAGGACTCCACTGCGCCGCTGCAAATGCCCGTTTCCACCGTTGCAGATATGGACGCCACCTGCCCCGCGTCGCCGTCGTGACGTCCAGCACCCAATCTGAAATTTGATTTTCGAATGGGGAGGTCCATTGCTTTTTAAGGGTTTTTTTTTCCGGTCGCCAGCGCCTTTCAAAATTTCCCGCCTTCCTGTGCTGCTTATGTACTATCAGGCATGACTATGGACGCGTGGGAGTTATGGGAGTTAGGTTTTGGGCATCGACGCTTGGTGCAGCGAAGGATGGGAATGGGGTAGGTATAAATAGGGGGCATGGCAATGGTGTGGCCTCCGTGAACGGGTACTAGTGCTATGATTGGTGATTTTTTTTAGGGATATTATCCCCCTGAAGAGTCTGCTTGCGGGGCGGATGAAATGCGTCGACAGGGTATGGCCGCGAGTCTGCTTGCGGGGCGGGCGAAACGTGTCGACGGTGTATGGCCGCGAGGTGGTGTGTATGAGGTTACTACATGCAGGTTCCTTTTGAAGAGCTAATTTTTTTTTTCTCGTCGTTTAGCTTCGTTGCTCTGGAGGATGGTGTGTGGATGGGTTGCCTTCTTGGTTGCAAAGTGTGGCAGAGTACGTCTATTGGTGTATCTGCTCTCTCTCTGTCCTCATGCTGAGCCATTCTTGCCGGGCTGTCTTCCCGCGGGCGCTGGCCTGCCTTGCTTAGGTAATCCTGCTGGGTAGACTCTCTGAATTGGGCCTGTAGAAGATTGCATGAGCCTGGCGTCCGAAGTTCCCATACGGCAAGGTTCGTCCGCGTCCGCTTCCATTAAGGCTGGGAGGTTGGCCCAGCCCTGGTGCTTGTCACTGCTGTCTGGTCCAAGTTGTCCTCAATAGTGCTAGGGCGATGGTGGTCCTGAGTGCTGGTCACACTGAGGTAGGATAGTATGGACAGGGGGTGCGCTGGGAGTATTAACGTGGGGATGGGTAGGGTAGGTGGCCTATCCTGTCAGGACAACCATTGGCTGCCGCTACCAGCAATCACCGCGGGTCTGGTCCTTGGCCTCTACAACGCCCTGGGCTCTATTTATTTGGAAAAAAAAAGAAAAAAAAAGGGAAAAACCAGTGCCCAGATCCAGGCAGAACTCCATGGGCACAGACATGCCCCACCACTAAAAACAAAACAAAAAAAAGAAAGAAAACGGAAGAGGGTGTTTTTGCATGCCCTCCCGAGCTCACCTTCCCTAATACATCTGTTGTGGCCTTCCACGGGTTCCCGGCCTTCCAAGGGCTGTTGGCCGGCGGGGGACTTCCACAGGTGCCAGGCGGCGGACTTGCACGGGTGCCCTGCCGAGGCCGCGCATGCCCGGCGGGGGGCGCCTCTACCGTAGCTTAGGGCCTCGCTCCACTACTGTTTTTTTTTCCTTCTTCTTCTTAAAGCAAATATATATATATATTTTAAGCCCAGGTTGCTGTTAAAAAAAAAAAAAAAAAAAGTTTTTTTTTTTTTTTTTTTGACAGCGGATACGGAGGAGAAAACAAGGTACACAGAACATGATAATGATTGTATTTTACTATGGGCCCCGCTCCACTACTCTCCACATGCACAAAAGGCAAGAAATATGGCGATGTACCTTCCCATGTTCTAGAGGCGGGGATTCAGTCTCATTTTGCACATTTGGAGAGTAGCGGAGCGAGGCCCTATATGTCTTATATTGCGGAGGTGGTTTCGGACAACTTCCCTTGGCTTGTGGATATTCACAACTTTGTGTAATAAAATTATTAATAATAATTGATTGTATCTTATGGGCATTATGTATTTTAGTTATTTTGACCCCCTGTCTTATATATTCTTATTGAATAATATCTTGACTTTCTTTTGTGCCCTATTTGTATGTGTCTCCTTTTTGTTCTTTACAGCAGAGGTGGTTTCACACTACTTAATTCATGACTAATAATAGATTGTATGATATGGATTTTTTTTGGCTCTTTTCTTATTAATTTATTAATTTGGTTATATTCCAAGTAGAAAATCCGGATATCCGAGATTGTATCTTATGTCATAGGCTTGTGGATATCCACAACTACATAATTCATGACTAATAATCTACGTATCTTATGGGTTTATTTTGGCTCTTTTTGTTATTAATTTATTAATTTACTTGTTTTCCAAGTAGAAAACCCGGACATCCGTGGGAACCCTCGATTTATCTCGATTCCCAGGCCGGATAGCACCACCCGAATTAAACGGGATGAAGTATATCCGGGAGTCAAAATATGGTACTTTTCGAAAGGGAAAAAAAAAAAAAAACTTCTCCGAAAAATCTGAAGGAAAAGTATGGTGTAGATTATAACAATGCCAACAACTTTTTTTTTTTTTTTTTTTTTTTTTTTATTATTATTACATACTGGGAAACGGGCCCAGCGTCCCTCACATCATTAGCCCCTGCCTGAGGGGATGAGCCGGGCTCTCCGGCCAGGCTTAACGCCAACCGCAGCGGAAAAACTGATATTGGCCGGCTCTGTGCCGTTCTTATCATCAACTCATCCCTCTATGAGGTCGTTACAGCGGATGCACTTCTTCCTTCTTCAACTAACGATCAACTAACAATCGACTAACCATGAATGATGCAAAACTTGGTACAGCTATATACTACAGCTATGTACTACTTTCTACAGCAATCAACGTATAACTACAACTATAAACAATGGCTGGAGGTCATTTCAAAATTCCCCTGGCTGGCAAAAACAGCATCGTGGTGCAGTTGGGGGCCTGCGGGCACTGACCCCTGCCGCGTGGGTGGCAGACCGGGTTGGCAGGGGCTGGTGGTATCTTTGGATGAGTAGCGGACATAATCTTGTAGTGCTGGTCGCTTCCTTTTTCTTGATAGTTCTTTCTCGGCATGGGATTTGTGGTGTGTGTGTTGCGGTCCAGTTTCTGGGCTTGACTGGTGATGTCTTACCCTGAAACAGGACCGCAGAAGTTTGTTTTGTAAGGGACGCCAGGCCCAATTTCTGGCATTGAAAAATAAATAAATAAATAAATAAATAAATAAAATTGGTTTCCTCCTCCTTTTCTTTACCTCTTTGCCTTTTGGCTGCGTGCAAGTGGGTCCTTGTGACACACGGGGATGGGGGCAGCCAGCGCTCAACCTGTCATCCACGTGGCTGGCCTTGTACGTAAGAGGTTATGAACAGGTGGAGCTTTCCTTACCTCTTCTCTTTCCCTTTTTTCCTTTTCCTTTTTTTCGCTTCTGCGCTCTGATTCACAATGTGACAATATATCCTTCGACGTTGCTAGCTCTCTGCTCTTGCAGATGATGCGCATAGCGTCGGGCCTGTACTAGCAGGCGCATGCCCTCTCTTATGGCAGAGTTTAATTTTCATATTCCTTCTTTTTCTGTTTCTGTTTCTTTTTCTTTCCCTTTCTTATTCCTTTTTGTCTTTGCTAGCCACCTCCTCCCGATGAGGAACGGCATCTGTATATTGCGGGCCCTCTGTTGTGGTTCCGTTTATCTTGACTCTTGATTACATTTAGAGGTTGTGTTCATGTTCTGTGATTGCCTGTTAGGGTGTGACCTGCGAAGGAACATGGTGGTGTGACATTCTTCTCCCTTCTCAATGGTGTCCAGGATTGTTGTGATGGCGGTCACCGCAAGGACATGGGTTGTCCCCCCTTCCCGTGTAGTGGGTATAGTTACGGCCAGCCTAAGGTCTGCCAAACCCGGGTTGCTGCCCCCATGCCAGCCTAAGGTCTGCCAAACCCGGGTTGCTGCCCCCATGCCCACTCACCTTTCTGTCGATGCAGAAAGGACGATGGCAGGTTTCCCGGCCTGAGCCATCGGGCCTAAAGTCCTGCTTTCCTGGGCACTTGCTGTGCCGTGTAACAATAAAAAATAAAAAATAAAAAACAAAAAATAAAAAACTCAAAAAATTTTAAAACAACTTTCATAATCCTCTTTAACAAAGATACGTTGATCTGTGGGATGTGTTATTTGCTTTGTGACAATCGGATTATCTTTCTTTCCCTATCTTTCTTTCCCTGTCAGGTTTGGTTTCCTCCTCCTTTTCTTTACCTCTTTGCCTTTTGGCTGCGTGCAAGTGGGTCCTTGTG